TTCCTCACAGATTATGTAAAAGTATCAAGGCATTCATTTTTCAACAAAATGAGATACCTCCTGAAGAACTTTGTGAGTTGACAAGACAGCTGAAGATGCGTATTGGAGACTACATCAAGAAGAGAGAAGAGGAGATTATGAATTATAGTTCTAGTTATTTTCATGAAATAGTGAAAATAATAGATGAGGAAATACTTGCTTTTGAAGAAACTGTAACTCTGAAACTAACATCTTCATACCGAGTGGATGTATCACTCTATTTGTGCCAAATGGCAGCACAGAAGTTTGCAGAACTGTATGAAATCTTCCAGAAAGAAAGTGATCCTATTATCTATCTTAACAGCAAGAAAGAAGACTTCTTTAAATCATTTGCCATATCCTACCAAGGAGCAAAATCGGCAACAACATTTGCTGACTTTTTATGCACCAGCCTTAACTCAGCAATTTGTGATGCAATCTACGAAAAGACAGCGATTGACATAGTCAATGTGATGAAGACTGAAGACCCAGCTTTCAATGGTACTCGAGAGAAGTTGGAAATAAACTTGCTGATTCATCTTGCTAAAAAGGAAAATTTTCATAAATACATGGACTACATTTATAATCCAAGTTATTCAATGGCAGAATTTATCCAACAAAGAATTAATAACTACTGTTTGAATAAAAGGAATCCACAATTAAACAAGTTCTTACATTCTCATCTTAACACTTTCAAAGATCTTATTCTTTGTGCCATCAATGACTCAACCAGAGTTGTTGAAGATAAAGGAAGCAATGTATCCTTGTGGCTGGATGAATTCTGCAGCAGGATAGGAGACAATTTATATCTTCCAAGGCACACCTTGAGCAGCATTGAACACCAAGAAGTCATAGGCATAAAATTGATTAAAGAAGCTGTTAGTGACTCACTGGGCCATGTGCTAGATGATTTGGAAAGAACATTCTCCGAGACTGATTTGGACCCATTTTTTGCAAAGCCTCATGAGATTCTATTTGAGCAGGTTAGTGGATGCATGAAGCAGTGCCCATTTTGCAAAGCCGTGTGCACAAACACCATTCCAGATCATGATGGAGAACATGGCACTTATTTCCATCGGCCACTAGCTATAACAGGTGTCAAGTGGGAAGGAACAAATAATTTTGTTATTGATATTTGCTCCAGTATTGCAGCAAGTGATTCCACTTTCATCTCTGATGGGAAGAAAATTCCTTGCAAACAGTATCGAAAAGCAGGAGCTGATTACGCAAAGTGGAACATCCAACCAAGCACTTTTCCACAGTTTTATTGGAAATGGTTTGTCTGCCATTTTAGAAATGAACTAGAAACTGCCTACCAAGGAGTTTTTGAAGCAAAAGGAAAAATACCACATGACTGGGAAAACGTATCTAGAGATGAAATTCTTTTTCTAATGGAAATAGACCATATGTATAAGTTAAGAGATGAAATTCTAATGGAAATAGAGCCCATTTATAAGTTAGGAGGTTTCAGGCAAAAACTCCTGACGCTGTTTTCCCCACAGAGTTCTGCTTAGGATGGCACTGTTGTTTTAAAACAAAAGAGCCCAAGCATCCTGTTCATTCAGCCACAAAGGGCTGAACTAGATATGACATTTGGCATAAATTGGTTCCAAGGATCCCCCACCCCCACTTAGATGGAGTTACAGCCAAAAGTTACTGCCTTTAAAGGAAGATTGGAAGTGTGCCAGAGCCTGATTCATTAAGGACTATGGCCCTGGAGGAAAAGGCGGCGGTTACCTCATTAAGCTGTTATTCCATATGCGTTGATTCAGAGGACATTTAGACCCAACTTGTATGAAACATCTAGTTCAGACCTAATCAATATGAAGGTGTTATTATCGCTCTGATATAGGCCTGGCTGTGATAGATAAAACAATTTTACATGGCAGCAGCATAATGATGTGATCTCAGGAGCTTAGATATGTGGCAACACCATGTGAAGATGATAATTCAACAGTTTGCCGTGCTTATACCTATTTGTGGTGATGAAGATGGGACGGACAATTATAAAGTTCCTTCATGAGAATATGATGGATAAGAAAGTTTTCCTAGAAGAGACACCTCAGGTTGATCACCCAACATAAAATATTTGGGTAATAAATGTTGATAACTGAACAGTCAAGAAAATGTATAAATTCACTTAAGAATAGGAGGGGCTCCTGTTGATCAATGAAAAAGGGCAGTGGTGCGCTGGTAAATTTTTAACAAACAGCTCTCAGGGGGGAAACGTATGCATACCTATATGTACAAAACTTTATTATAAATTTTACTGATATAAAGGATGTGTAGCACACAATTTACAAATAATAATATACAGTACTCTTTATTGTAAAATCCATATAGCCAATTGATTCTCACAGAATGCTGTTGTTGATTTTTTGCCAAACTCTTGTATCCATAGCCAGTGGTGTGCTGGCTGTGTTGGGGGTGGTGGTGGAGGAGACTTTCTGTACGCATGCTGCAGAGAGCAACTGGGCAAGGAGAGAGCCAGGGGACCTATGAGGGGGTGGGGTGGGGAGTGTATCAGAGGGGCGGAGATTTACATGCTGAGAATCAGCCACCTCCTTCCCACGCCCAAGCCACCCTTTTCCACGGCTTGGTTACCTGAGGTGCCTGCATGTCACAGCCCTGGCCAGCGTCTTGCATTTACTCCAAATTTTTACCTTATTCTGCCTCTGAGAATGTGCGTGAAGGAAGGAGGAAGGCATCCTAGAGCTCCTGATGATTTTTCAACCAGCTGGCAAAATTCTTGAAAATTTAACAATCTAGTCTCGTGAACCAGTACAAACTGGCTCCAGCACATCGCTGAAAAGGGTATGAAAAACTACACGTCTCCCATTTGTCAAACTTTATCCCATCTTCAACCCACTTCTTTCCTTTGTTTCTTTTTTGCATTGTTTTGCTTCCTTCTGATTGTTGTCTTTTTCCTTTTCTCCTTGTTTTGGGTATTTTGGAGTATTCCATCTGGGAACTAATAAATGGTAGAAGAGAAGAAAAGTAGGTTTTTATACCCCACTTTTCTCTACCTTAAGGAGTCTCCAAGCAGCTAACAATCACAGTCTCTTCCTCTCTCCACAACAGGCACCTTGTGAGGCAGGTGGGCCCGAAAGAGTTCCGAGAGAACTGTGACTGGCCCAAGGGCACCCAACAGGCTTCATGTGGAGGAGTGGGGAACCAAACCCGGCTCTCCAGATTAGAGTCCACCACTCTTAACCACTGCACCACGCTGGCTATGCAAACTGCTATGTAGAAACACAGGGTGGGGTAGAGAGCTGGGTTTAGCTTTTAACTAGATGGGCTGGAGATGATCTGGAGATTAGGCTATTGCATATCTCATTGCTATGTAATCATTTATTTCATTTTATTCATTGATCTGTGACTTTTAGATGCTTTGCTGAAGTGCCTTATAAGTTCATTTTTTAACAGCCATGTTTTAGGGCTTGTTTTTTTGGTATCCAGTATTATATTTTCTTTGATTGAAGAGTTTATTGCTTTTGTGTTGCTTTATTTGCTGTTTTGTGCATTAATAAACCATTTCCAGTTATTTTAATCTAACCACTCAGCCTGTGTGTGGTCCTCACTAGTCTGTGTCTCCTACTATTTGTGGGAAATTAGTACATGGGTTTTCACAGGGTGGTGGTGGTGGAGGAAAGTGCTGCCAAGTCACAGCTGATTTATGGTGACCCTGTAGGGGTTTCAAGGCAAATGATGTTCAGAGGTGGTTTGCCAGTGCCTCCTTCTGCGTCATAACCTTGGTATTCCTTGGCGGTCTCCCATCCAAATACTAGCCAGGGCCGACCCTGCTTAGCTCATGAGATCTGATGAAATCAGACCAGCCTAGGCTAGCCAGGTCAGGACACGACTGGGCATATAAGACGACCCCCAACTTTTCCAGTTAAAATATAGAGTTTTCCAGTTAAAATATAGAGCTGTGCTGATGCTTCTGGCGTACCGGCGTATAAGACGACCCCCCACTTCTGAGAAGATTTCCCTGGGTTAAAAAGTAGTCTTATATGCAGGAAAATACAGTACTTTTTCTCCACTGTCATCCCTCATCAATCAGATTTTGCAGATTTGGGAGGCATTATGTATATTGGACCAGAGATTGCAGAGGGATCGTTGAAGGTGAAGGGCCATACTATGTTATTGTTGCTTGAATGTAGTGCATACTAGTATTTCAGAGGAAGAAGTAGAGCTGGCAAGCTAGAAAGGTCAGTTTCCTCTGTAACCTTCCTCTTGCCTACTCTGCTAGTCTTTCTCTGTTACTCAGAATGCTGCTCTTAGGGACTGTGCTGCCCCCAGCCAGCGTTAATGTACCTTTAAGAGTAGTTGCACTTGGGAATTGGAGTCCACAGTTAGGGGTCCCAGAAGCTTCCCTCTGACTGGCTCATTAAGAGTAATTTCCTGAGCTCAGAGGCGCAAAGATAGGAGTTTTATTGTTCTTTTCCGTTTCTTTGTCCATCAACCCTTACTGCAAGGAGAGGGGAAGCCCATCTCTTTTCTTACCATGTCCATAGGATTGACCTAGATCAGAAAGATGTAACGCTGTATCCCGCTATGCAGCTCTCACTAGACAGGACAGGGACTTCTGTCTTTCTGGATTGTAGTATAGTAGTATAGATGTTAGCAGACAAGACAAGACTACCATTCTTTTGCTACAGAAGAAGGTATAAGGTCCATGGTTTTTAATTGTTTAGGGTAAGGACTTTGCAGTATCTGAGTCAAGAAAGATTTTAGCTTCGTATCAGGAAAAAAACCCACCTTTGTTTGGATATGGAGAATCCTTGGCCAGCATCAGGGGTCATTTCGTAGAAAAAGAGCTGAATAAAAAGGGAATTTTATTTATTTCCTACAGCAGCCAGCTTTAATACTAAGCAAGGTTGTCAGCTCCTCAGGGGAGACAGGGAATCCTCTGCCCCCAGCTCCTGTTTCCTGCCACTGCTCAGAAGAAGAAGAAAAACAATCGGTTGACAGCACAACATCAATTCTGGGGAAAACCTGGATGTGATACCACAGCTCTTTAGGAATCCTTAGGTTTTACCATAGAGTTTCCAGCATTTCCTAGCAAGGGGTGACATCACTGATGACTGCCCCCACATGCCCCCGCTCCCCCGGCCTTCTGCCTGGCAACCTTATGGCAGCTTCCCCCTTCCCTTGTACAATCCTAACTGTGTAACAGCTCTCTCCAACTCTGCCAAACAAGTACATGTGTGCACACTTTTGGATGTGGGAGCCTGGGTCACTCCACCTTCAGCTCGCTGAATTTTCTCCCTTATTCTCTGTTACCCTGATTTTGCAACCAAGAGAACAGAAGCTCCATTTGTAGGGTTGCCAGCCTCCAAGGGGGCCCTGAAGATCTCCAAAAATTACAGCTGATCTCCAGGTGGCAGAGGTTAGTTCCCCTGCAGAAAATGACTATGACATTACACCATACGGAGGTCCCAAACAATGCCCTCTCCAGGTTCCACCCCCCAAATCTCTAGGCATTTCCCAACCTGGAACTGGCAACACCCCAAAACTACAGCAGCCTTTTTCTCCTTGCAGCCTTGGCATCCTGGGAGACGGAAGCTGTGGTTGGATGGTTGAAGCAGAGCCAGCCGAAACAAAGCCGTCAAAGACAGATAGGGGGGGGGGGGGGGGGGGGATCCAGGGCTGAGGTGCCAACTACCAGTGGTGGTGCACCTTTAACCACTGTGCCAACTGTCAAGAGTCTGGGTGTGTTTCGGGATGCCTCCTTATCGATGGAGGCCCAGATCAGAAATGTTACCAGACTGTCATTTATCCAACTACGCCAGATCAGGCAACTAGTCCCCTTCCTGTCTTGCCCTGACTTAGCCACAATAATCCATACAATGGTCACATCCAGGTTAGACTACTGTAACTCGTTCTACACAGGGTTACTCTTGAGACTGACCCAGAAACTACAACTGGTCCAGAATGCAGCGGCGAGGGTCCTTACTGGGACCCCATTGACAGCACACATACAACCAGTGCTCCGTCAGCTGCACTGGCTCCAGGTTGAATACCGGATCAGATTCAAGGTTTTGGTATCAACCTTCAAGACCAACATACCTGTGGGACCGCCTCTCCTGGTACACCCTCAGAAGGGCATTACGCTCTGGAAGAAAGAACCTCCTAGTGATCCCTGGCCTGAAAGAAATCTGGTTGTCCTTGACCAGATCAGGGATAGGGAGATGATGGCTACATGACAGAGGAGCTGACTGGGGGATAGGGTTGCCAGCTCTGGGTTGGGAAATACCGGAGATTTTGGGGGTGAAGCCTGAGGAGGGTGGAGCTTGGAGAGGGACTTCAATGGGGTATAATGCCATAGAGTCCACCTTCCAAAGCAGCCATTTTCTCCAGGTGATCTTTGGATTGGGGGAGGGGGGGTGCTGTGTATTGCCCCAGGTGACTCCATCTTTGCTGATGCTGGTGCTTAGTTGCCCTAAGTCCTGAGAGAGGACAGGACAGCATGAGCTGCTCTCAGGGGAACATTTGCACTCATGCTAGTTAGCAGAGCCTATCTTCTAGACCTGGGTTGGCTAAGCTCCTCTGCGTGTGTGTGCACACCTCTTGAGGCTGGCTGATTGGAGCTCCGCCCTTAATCTGCTTTGATAACTTTGATGGGTTATTAAAGCTCTTCTCATAAGTAAACCCAGGTCTCTCATGCCAGTTCTTTGGGAACTTCTGCAAACATAAGAGCTCCTGGCCTGGGCTCACAACACGATGTCACCAAAGCAGGCAGAAGTTTTAAAAGGTAGCATCTTCCTTTGTTTGTTCAAATACTTTGACCTGTGGGGACCCAAATTCCTCTGAAAAGGGGTAGTGGGGGGTTTGGGGATGTATTTTCTCCATCCACAGTAACTGTCCTGCATTGTAACTTCGCTATAGTTATGTTTTTCTTTCCTTAGATCTGTATCTGCTAAGCTGGACAGCTTTTCCCATGTATGTGCTATAGTTAAATCTTTAGTAATAAAGTTTCTTATGTATTTAAGAAAGCAGACTGTGTTTCAGATCCTACTGACACATCGTAGACCGGTCTTAACACGGTAAAGACATGCAAGCATAGGGAGACCTAAAGTAATTGGAAGCGCTGCTCTTTGTACTTGCTCAGAGGCAGCATTACCAGTGTTTCCCAAGGCACTGGTTACGTGATTGGCTAGGTTTTATGTCTTGGGGTGGTGGCACAGAAAAGGAGCACGCTTTCACCTGCAAGCAAACATACAACATTTATGTGAGAACACACATGGCCACGGTGGGATTGTTACAGTGACTATCACATACAAAGCCCCGCGTAGCCTTGCTCTTTCATAGCTGCATGACTGCTTCTCCTCCTATGTTCTCCCATGACTGTTTCACTGGTCTGCTCAGGGCTTTCTGCAGGTCCCACCCTGCAAACAGACAAGATCAATAACCATGCATGTGTTTTCTCTGTTGTAGTCTCCTCCCCGTGAAATGGCTCCCGTCAGATCAGGAGAGCTCCCGTGCTTCTGCCATTCTGCAAACTATGTAAAATGGAGTTGTTCAGGAGGGCTTTTCTGTAAAGACAATAGGACTATAACAGGTCTCTGCAGTCCTAGCCCTAGTCCATCGCTAATTAGATGCCTCTTCATATTGACTGTATCAACAGACACTGTTAATCCACGTTGAGTCTTAGTGAGACAGGCAGTCTATGCATACAGTAAATGAATAATAAATATTCCCCTCTTGTACTACAACTTTAAGCATGTGTACTCCGAAGTAAATAATTGAATTCAGTCCCTGGTGTGTTTAGGAAGCATCCTTGGTTTCTCAACATTTATTTCCCCCTCAAACAACTTCCCACCTGTGCTGCTTTTATTGCTCCACTTCCTCCTTCTGATGATACCTGGATTGCTGCTGTTCTGGAAAGACCTCATCTAAGATCTCCACAGCTCAGATGTTCAAGCACCAGTAAGGCCTGATTTGAAGAGAACGCTGGGAAAGCAAAAGCTGCCACCTGTGCCCCTTTGTACTCACACAGCCTTTCAATGGAACTGGCCTGCCGCCCCCTGAGAA